TGCTGACCGGGTCTCTGTTAGTGGGACGGTGGACGAGTCGTCTCACTGCCCGCTAACCGTGTCTCTGTTAGTGGGACGGTGGACGAGTCGTCTCACTCCCTGCTAACCGGGTCTCTGTTAGTGGGACGGTGAATCGTAGCTTTCCTCAGCACGGATGTTTCTCTCCAGGTTATCCCGCTACCAGCAGTTTAAAGACTTCCAGAGGCGGATCCTGGTGGCCACTAATCTGTTCGGCCGAGGCATGGACATCGAGAGGGTCAACATTGTCTTCAACTATGACATGCCCGAGGACTCGGACACGTACCTTCACAGAGTCAGTGCACGCTGTGCTTGTTCTAGGTGGAGAATCTTCCTGATGGGGCTCGTCTGGATGAACTGATCTGATTCTGGGTTCCTGCGGTTTTTCTCTTTACATCAGGTAGCGCGTGCCGGAAGGTTTGGGACCAAAGGCCTCGCCATCACTTTTGTCTCAGATGAAACAGACGCCAAGACTCTGAATGAAGTCCAAGACCGCTTCGAGGTCAATGTAGCTGAGCTGCCTGAGGAGATCGATATCTCCTCCTACAGTAAGTTTCATCATCCTCACACGTTTGCTAAAGTTCATTCAAAACCAAGACGCTTGAAATGAACGGCGGCAGTTATTTTCCGAATATTACCTCTAAATGAAATCAGTTTCTGACTGTTTTATTTGGCTGAAGTTTTTCTCCTGAGAAAATGGGATCCTAATTCTATTCAGTTTATTTCTATAGCGTCAATTCACATCATGTCATCTCAGGTCACTTTATAGAGACAAATCAACCAGATCATCCAGTCAGATTGATCCAAAAGAGAAACAGGACTACACTGGAAAACAGGCCAAGCTCCAACATCTAGAAACAAAGGTGTTGATGGCAGCAGCACAGCTGATATTTCTCTCCAGGATGGAGTCACAGCCAAACAGGAACAGACCAGATGAAGCTACTATGAGAAAAAGCAGAGAGAGCAGAACGTTAGAGATTGAACTAACAGATTCTGCAGTGGGAGAATAGAGATAGAATGAAGCAGAATGATGAAAAAGGGGGTCCCTATGTCCTCCAGCAGTCTAAGCCTTTAGCAGCAGAACTATAGAGATAGATCAGGATAACCTGAGCCACTCTAACTAGAAGATTTATCAAAAAGGAAAGTTTTAAGCCTAGCCTTAAAAGTAGACAGGGTGTCTGCCTCACGGAGTAAATATTGTTTAAGTGTTATCACCTTAGTCTCGACACGACTGGAGTTAAATTGAATTCAGTTTATGTGATGAGCACCAGTTCAGGACACGTCCTCTCAGTTTAGTAAGGCAGGGTTGGATATTTAGAGACTAAAGAAGTGATTTTGATCAATCAGCTGTTTATCTTGGTTAAATCATCTATTGATGAAGCAATATATGCATGTTTTTACTCATTAACCTTTAGGATTTTTAATCTTCTTTCCTTTATTTCTTTGCAGTTGAACAGTCCAGATGAGTCTGCGCTCTCCTACCAGTGGAGACTGATCGTCTATTGTTGCTCCATTGTTGGCAAAAGGGGAAAAAAGAAGAAAATCTGCATTTGTTTAAATTCCTCTCCCAACATAAAAGTAGTCCATTTCAAAAGGCATCTTTTTATTTTCCTCATGTCTTTGCAAAATGCTTGTTTTAGAGTTTTCCTTGTTGAAACCATATTTTCAAAATGTTGTTTTGGTTAAATAAATACATTTTTTTTGTAACTTACTTTTTTGGTGTTTAATTCAGCGTTGCTTAATCATCAATTTTTAAAATGTTTTAGGATGTTTTTGAAAGGCCATAAACAGGCAGTAGCTGACAATGACCAGCAGAGGGCGCCATTGCAGTTTAGGATGGACAAGCAAAATGGGGAAAAATGGGTAGCAAACATTTGGATCAAACAGGAATACAGTTTCCTAAAACAATCAGATGAGAATTTAAAATCATGTATCTTGAATACTTTGAAGTACATAAGATTTATACATGTTCCTGTTTGGCTGTGACTCCATCCTGGAGAGAAATATCAGCTGTGCTGCTGCCATCAACACCTTTGTTTCTAGATGTTGGAGCTTGGCCTGTTTTCCAGTGTAGTCCTGTTTCTCTGACTGTGACTAACTGGATGTGCTCTCTTCATCCTCTGACATGGGAGCTGGCTCGGAGCTAGTGTTCTCACGATACTAAACTTTTCAACTCGATATCGATACTAAGTAAAATATTCTATACTCGATACCCTTTTCGATACCACAAGAATAAAAAGAAAGACTCTAAAATTCAACAGAAATATTTTCATTACTAAAAAAAAATACAAGAAATAAATAAAAAAACAATAATATTTTGAGGTTGTATGCTGTGCACAATATTAAGCAAGTTTAATAAAAAACTTACAAAATTAAAATGAAGTGTTCCTTCCTTGGCTATGTTTTCAGGATTCTGATGAAGGTTCTCAGTCATCCAAGTCATAGTGATTCCGTAAAAATTCAAAAATATCCACTGGACTTGGTTTTCAAAATTTGAAGAATTAAGAGAAGAATTAAACGCAAAAACATCTCAATCCCTTATGTTGCTGGAGTGTCTGAAAAGCTCAAGATGATTTTCTCCAAACACAAGATCCCAGTACATTTCAAGCCAAACCAAACCCTTAAACAGAGGCTAGTGCATCCGAAAGATAAAACCCCCAGACCGAATATGAGCGGAGTGGTATATGCTGTTCAGTGCAGTGAGGAATGCTCTGATCTTTATATTGGAGAAACAAAACAACCTCTCCACAGACGCATGGCCCAACACAGAAGAGCGGCCGCCTCTGGACAAGACTCCGCAGTACACCTACACCTTGTGGACAAAGGACATTCTTTTGAGGACCAGAATGTCCATATTCTGGATAAAGAAAATAGGTGGTTTGAGAGGGGCGTGAAGGAAGCCATCTATGTTAAGAGAGAAAAACCAACTTTAAACAGAGGTGGTGGACTCAGATTCCAGCTTCCAAAAACATACAATTCAATCATAGACATGATCCCTTCCAGATATCACCAAACCCCCCACCGCATCACAGAGGAACGAGGGACCTACCCGCTCCAGCCGGTGAACGATACCTCCTTAACGACCAACCCTTAACAATCATAGACAGGTTTCAGGTATTACAGGAGACAATCCCCCCCTTAATGACAATCCCCCCTTTATCGACCAACCCCTAGAATCATAGACCGTTTCAGATATTACAGGCTAACGATGGAACTAACGACCCATTCATCGGTTACCATTGCATGTTTCCAAGCAATACGAGGCCTTGTCCATATAAGACTCAAACTCACTGCGGATCCAGACATTAGAATTGAGAAAGCTGCCTGGAGAGGTGGAGAAACGTCTTCAAATCTTGAAAACCAAGTCCAGTGGATATTTTTTGAATTTTTACGGAATGTTTTCAGGATGTTTTTCAGTCTGAAACAGAAAAATGCACAGAATTATTCAATCACACAGTGTTCAGAAAGTGCATTTTCCACTATTCTGCACTTTAGATGGTGGCTACTTTTGAAAATGAGTATTTTATCCGGATACAATGTTTCAGTATCAATACTTTTTTGAGTATCGATACTTTTGACAACCCTACTCGGAGCTCGTCTGCCTGGCTGTGTGTTTCCTGGACGGGGCCGCCTGTGGAGCTGGTTGACAGTTGCCTTTTGTATCTATGCTTCTTTTTCTATGTCTGCTTCTGTCTCCTTGAACCCCAGTGGGCCTCAGCAGATGGCCGCTCACACTGAGCCTGGTTCTGCTGGAGGTTTCTTCCTGTTCAAAGGGAGTTTTTCCTCTCCACTGTCGCTACAAGCATGCTTAGTGTGAGGGATTGCTGAAGAGTCGATGCAATCAGCTGGTTTTCCTTAGATAGAAAACTTTGAATCAATCTGACTGGATGATCTGGTGAACTGGAAAGTGACCTGAGATGACATGATGTGAATTGGAGCTATAGAAATAAACTGAATAGAATTGACATTCTGAGCTAATTTGCTGATGGTTCGGTTTAGAGCTAAGGTCTGAATTAGGCTTAGCTCAGGTGAGGTTTACCTGAGGTTTACACCACAGAGAAGAACGGCTGTGATTGAAGAATGAAGATGAATTATTTAATCTCACTTCAAATCAAGATTATTATTTATATTATTTATATTCCCTCTTCTTCTGAGTTTTAAGGTTTGTTGTTATAAGGTAATATGAAAATGTTAACGCAAATGCAACATCATAGATTAGGCCATTCAGGACAGAGGTGGTCCTGCACCAGTTGGTCTGAGGGGGGGGGGTTAGATATGTGGCTTTTCTTCTCTATTTAATTCTCCCTAATCTTTAATCGCGACGTGTAAAACTGGAGGATGTGGAACTAGTCGTCTCCATCCCTTCTGTTTCTTTTTTTCCGTTCATCAAACTGCTCTGACGTCCGTCTCCTTCCCTGATAAACCTCGTCACACATCAGGGCACTTTGGACGTGGCTTTATTCAGATCACGCTCCTGTCTCCCATCACCCAGGGTGTCCTGATTAGACCCCACCGGCGCTCAGCAGTCACTGGGACTCAGAAGAACCTCTGACAGGCGAGAAAGCAGCTTTTCCAGGTAGAGGAGCTGCTCTGCCTGAAGACATGTAAGCCTAATTATCCCACTTGGCTCGGAGGGGGGGGGGGGGGGGTTATCCACGGGGCTGTCCCTAAATGCTTCATTCTCCTTTGAAGAGGGTTGGTTTAAAAAGCACTAATATCCATCAGGAGCTCGTTTACGGATAAACAATCAGGAGAGGCAAGGGTTAAAGTTTGGGGTGTTGTTTTTTTCAGCTTTTTTAGATCAAGTCTGCTGAAGAATTGCATCAGAAAAGCTTGATACTCGAAAACAATCCCTAAAATCTGTAAAGACGTTTTTACTCTCCTTTGACCTGGATTTTGGTTTTTGTTAAAAAAGGTCGATGCGTAAAATAGGAGATGTTTATAACATAACCACTATGCTGTTTTCTTTTCTTGTATAACTATATTAAATTATAAAGGTAACAAACTGTTTGGTAGAACAGTTTTTATTTCATTGTTAATATTATTTCAAAACTCCACTGGTTAAAAATGATAAATAAATAATTAAAATGCTGTTTTTTTTTGGTGTGGAGAAAATTAGTAAATAAAAGGGGCGTCGCCTCGACCGCAGAGGAAGATGGACGCTGTCAGATCTGTGCAGCGGGAGATTTTATTTTGGTTGAATGTTAAGAACTAGTTAAAAAGAGTAAAGATAAAACAGCAGTGAAAGTTTGTCCCAGCGCCGTAGGAAAGGCATTTAGAAACCTGAGTGGAGTTTGCACCCAGAGGACGGTGCAGGAAGACGCCACCGAAGGGAATCTGGGGAAATTCGGACACGTTTTGGGGATTTTTGGTGGTACTGCCCTTTATTCTTATCTATTTTGTGTTGGATTTTTATTTTGTAACAGGACTTTGTTTTGAGTTCAGAGGATATGGGACTCCTTTGTGGACATTATTAAAAATAAAAAGAAGTTTGGATTTTCAGTTTTTTAGGTTTTTTTGCTGATATAGATTAAGTGTTTTGAGTCTAACTTATAAATAGGTTATGAAGGATTTTTGGTTATTGATCAGTTTATACTGAAACCAGGCCCCGGATAAAGAGGAAGAAAATGGATGAATGGATGGATGCATTTAATCTGTTTTGAAACACATGAAAAAACATCATCAACTCCTCGTTAGAAGAGGAGGGATGCAGTCAGTTCTGCCAGTAAACACTGAGGGATGCCAATAACAACAAGCTGCCTTTTCTGGACTGTTTGGAGAGCAGGGAAGGAGATGGACACCTGAACATTAAAGTCTATAGGAAATCCTTATTCAGCTCATTAGTCCATCCTTTGTTCTGTTCCCCTTATATACTCCACCTCTGCAGTCACTCACTGCTGGTTTGTTGTTTAGTTGCTTCTTCATCTTTCCTCTCATGTGGGAAGATTTATTTATTTGTTTATTTATTATTTAATCAGGACAGATCACATTAATGAACAATCTTATGCTTCTGTACAGATTGTAAATGAGCCAGATTATAGCATAGTTACTAATTTACATCTGAGGCAGGAAGACAAAACAACACAAGATCACATAATAAAATATCAGTCAAACAGACACACGTTCAGACGATGACATCACAACAATAAAAGTAGTGAGTGCATGACTGGGAGCTTATAAGAAACTGTTTAAGATGCTTTTTAAATGTGCAATAAGTGGGACATTCCCTGATGTTTGTTCCAGAAGTGACCCCCCCCCCTCTGACTGATAGAACGCTTTGTCCAAAGGTTGTTCTTCTGTGGGGGGTCTCTAGGTCTCCTCTGGAGGCTCTGGTGCAAATACGTCGGCCAGGTCTGATGTAGGTGGAAAGTGGAGGCGGGGCTAATCCATTCACAACTTTGTAAATTAAACAACTTTTTTAAAAATGTATAAAATTGTCAAATTAAGCATATTATATTTTTCCAAAATATTACACTGATGGAACAACAGAAGCCTTTGATCAAAGATTTTTTGAATATTTCTATTGGT